CTCGGTATCTCTCCTGTCCAGTCCGCCTCTAATTATAACATTTATTATATTAATCTGATATAATAGAAATTGAACTCAATTATAGATTGAATATTAATATTTTTATTGCTAGAAATTTCGATAAGATTTGGAGATTCAAAAGAGGTAGGAGTTGTAAGAACGAAAGTAGGAATTGTATGTTTAACATTAATAAAAATAAGGGTTTTCTAGGACAACAAGATTAAAGAAAGGCCAAAAGAAGACATAACACTTTCAAGATAGAACTTGTAGGTCAAGGAACATTATTAGAGGCACAAATAACCATGTATGAGGTTTATAGTAGGTTTTAAATTTCGACTCGGGTTTCGACTCTTCGTTAATACCTCAAACTGCGCATTGGGATAACTGACAATAATTAATTAATGTTTTCGTAATATTTTTGAAATTACATGCAATAGATCCATATTTTTTTAAGAAATTATATTTTGCTTTAAATCTTAAACATTTTAACCAACGTAAAGGACCAGAAAAAGATATACACTGAGAGTAGAGAGTTAAATGATGATGCTTATTGATTGGACTTATAGCTGGAAATAATTCTCAGAATAAGCAATTGTGTTCTTCGATTAATTCTGATAAATATGGTAGAATAGAGAGTCTCAATTTTGGAGCAAATACTATTTCGTTTATTCTATTCAATGTTAAAATTAACGATAAATATTTATCATTTTGAGGTAGTAAATTTGAAACTAAGAAGAGAAAAACTTTTAATAAACACCAGGTTTGTACAGCAGTTTGTGAAAGTTTATAATCTCTTTGATATTTAATAGAAGCCGAAAAAAAATTTGCAGGTTTATTTTTATTTTTTGGTAAACCATATTGAAATAAATTTATTCTGTTAGTGTGCTCAACGAATTTAGAGGTTTAATTAAGTCTTTTAACGTCAATAATGACTAACAATCTGTATTTCGAGCTAACTTTATCAACGAACTGTATAAAACACCGACCATTAATTATGTTTTTTTGAGATTTCATTCTGATTTAAACTATTCTGAAGATGGTCAAAAATTATTGACCGAAATGTCAAATAAATATCACTTCAAAAAATAACTCTTGGCACGATCAACCCCAGCCTGACCTTTGATCTCCTATCTTTATTAAACAAGTTTTAAATTTATTCTGTTATTGAACATATCTATTCTAAAATTATAATTGTTACAGGTACTGTAATAATGCAAAACCAATTTTAATTCTATTGGTGCGATATCTTCTAAAATATCGTGTATAGGATCAAAGACAAAATTATTTGTACAATGAATTATTATAAATTTATTACTTATAAGTAACATCATTACATAACCATTTTTTGTGCAAATAGTTTTAGCTGATATTAAAAACTAATCTATACATTCTTTTTTATTACAATTTTGTGTTTATGTTATAAATAGCCGACGTTGTATTGAGGTACGTGTTGCTTAGCTTAATTTGCGACGTATTGCATTTTAATTTTTAACTCTCTTTACATTTCACAAAGTTTGACATTTATGGTTAACATTCACAATTCACGCAAAATTGACCAAAAATAGTTGAACAGTTTTTATTGTATTAAGATATTGCAATCGTTACTAAGAATCAGTTTTTTTATATTGAGTTACGTGTTGCATAAATGTTTTTTTGAAGACTTATATATAATAGTTTTAAACTTTAACACTTTTGTTTAACATACCACATTGTTTGACTTTTTGTTAACATTCACAGTTTCATTCAATTTGATCAACAATTATGATGACAACCTCACCTCGTTCGAATGATCACATTATTTTTATTTGTGTTGCGTTTTATGATATCGATCGGAAAAACGACGAGAATAGAATGATTTAATTGAAATAAACACTTAAAAAAATATTTCGCTGATGTAGTTAGATTTCTAGATATCGCAACAAGAATGTATCGCTATTTTTCGTATCTGTGAAAACATTGTTTGTCACATATAGAATTTATAGCAGTAATGTTCTAGCAATAGCTTCTGAAAAATTTAGGTACCATTGCTAAATGTTATTCATTGCATGATCTAACACGTGATTGATCTTATATAGATAGGCGCTTTAGAGAAACTTTCTTTTTAAAGTTCACAAACAATACAGATATATATTCTGTTTCTGTCATCTAAACTGATTAAGTAATTACATATGCAATATCACAACAGTTGCTAATCATTTATCTGTTTTAGTTAATTTTTTACACCTAGAAAATTTTAGCTATTATTGCAAGATCATTTTTTCGAGTGAAACGCATAAATTAGCTTTACGAAACGGCTAAAACTATTTGCGCAATAAAATTATTATTACACGCTCATATGAGCGTGTAACAATAATTTTATTGCGCAAATAATGAATAATTACCGTTTAAGGCTAATGCGATTATATAATTTTATTGTGCAAATAATAAATAATTACTGTCTAAGGCTGCGATTATATAATGCGTGGAAACGCGGAAGACAAACTTACTAGACTTTACTAAATGTTTGCGTTTTCGCGCGTTCCGTTCCGCGAGATTAATTTTCTGTATATTACATAAAACACGATTTGCGCAAAAAAGCGGAACGGGTTGATTATAAATTCACATTTATCTGTGTTACGTCCTGGAGGGAAAGGGGTCAGGCATACGGGCGGACGCAATCATAAAAGTATTTTATGGTGTTTGCTCGCTGGTCGGTATGAGGAAAGGCGACCGCGCGAGCCGAACGATTTTCTTTGGCTGAAAACAGGTCAACGATCGTAAAGATCGATATTACCCTGTTAGAGACCTCAACCAATCGTTCGTGGTTCCGTTTTCTGGTCAAGAGACTTAACTCCTTTTACCAAGAATGGAACCTCGTGTGATTTTCAAAGGGAAGGGGGGGGGGGTAGGAAGAGGAAAGTGAGAGATCTTACAACTAATAATTATTTAATTATGAAGGTTTTTGACTTACTACTTGGATGTTCTGGAAATATATCTGGATCTTTTTGGATCGTTCAGTGGTCCGTATTCACACCGATGTATAACGAATATTCCTCGGAGGTTGGTTTAATATGTTGGAGAAGCAATTGCCGCGCGCGGTACTTTACTCCTCCGTGACGAGTTTTGGATTTAGGAATAAGAAAAGAATTTTATGTTAGTCCAGAAATTCCAGGCGTAAAGCGTGCGGTGGGCCGCACCACGATACGCGGGGATACAGAAATCGATACCACGTGCGGTGGTCCGCACCGAAAATATCGATACTGATTGTAAGTTTTATTTCATATATTTTGATATTTTTATCTACTTTAAATTAAAATGTTTGTATCAATGTTGCAAGAATGATTTTCATAGAAATCATCGCATATTTCTGACCTGCAATTTTGTTAATTATATACAAAATAACTTTATCATGATATTTTATTATTTATTTGTGCTTACCAATACAATTTCCGAGTCCGGTACTAAACGGCATGAAATATTTCGAACAATGCACTTCTTTTTCCGGGAGAAATTTATCTGGATCGAATATCAAGGGATTCGACCAATATTTCTTATTTTGGTGCATATAAAATATAGACATAATTATATCAGCTTCTTTAGGTAAAATAGTTTCTCCTAAAATATACATATGTTTATATTAAAATAATATTATAATAAAAATGTAATAGTAACAAATAGTCTAAGTAAACATACGTCTTATTATTAAAAAATTACTTTTGTATGTATCTCTGTCTTTTAATTGTAGCACAAAAAAACACAATTTTTAAATAAATTATTGTAATACACAATTGTCGTTAATATATACCTATCTTTAAATCTTCTGTTAAAATTCGTCCAATCAAAGGAGCAGCAAGAAAGAGTCTCATTGTTTCCTTAATAACTCGATTCAAATATTCCATTTTTTGCAAATCATCATATTCAATTGGTACAGATTTTGGAGATTCAATGCCGTAAATTTCTGATAATTCTTTGTACGCTTTTTCCTAGTATGAAATAAATTGAAGCGATTATGTGTATTTTTTAGTATATTGCTGTATACTTGTGATTAAAATTGTGTGCATTGCTTATGGCATTAATATTCCTAGCAATCACTAAAGCGTAAGTAATAGTAGATAAAAATGTTTGCATAATTCTATTTAAAACTTTAACATAAATAATATATTACATATAATTACTAATTTGAAATTATATTATTTATTTGTAAGTTTTATATATGTATTAAACAAGTTAATAAATTATATTGTATTTCAATAAATTTAATGTCTGCGTACCTGCACTTCTGGGAAATTTGCGAGCATAAAAATCACAAAATTCATTGTAATGGCAGTTGTGTCAATAGCCTACGTAAATATAAATCTATTTAATTGTACGTCTACATATAGTTTGAATTTGGAAATATATATACGTACTGTGAATAACATTGTAAACATATGATCATCACATTCTTGTAAAGTTATTTTTTTCTTTATGCAATGCTTCCAATAAAACATCGAAAACTGTGTTATTTGAATAAAAATAGATAAATTGATTGATTACTTACTTACAAAAATGAGTTTCCTATACATATAATTTTGAAATATTTGCAAAAGCAATGAAAGAAAAGAAAGAAATCATTAAAAATAGCGTTATATCAATAAAAAAAAGACATATATTTTAGTATTATTTCAGCAATATTGTCAAAAAAAAAACTTTTTTACCATTGTAGGATTCAGAAAGAATTAAGATCGTTAGATTTCAATTTGATATTTGGATCAGCTTGCTTCGGGCTTGTTTTGTTTATTGACTAGAGATACGTTCCACTTGGCGATCGCAACGCTTGTGGAATCATTTTATCTTTGTTTTTCATCGAAAGTTAAAGAAAGATAGATAATGTTTACGAGCGTTGCGATCACCAAGTGGAACTCAGCCTAGATACATGGAGAGAAACAGAGAGAGGGCAGTCAGGACGCTGAGCGAGGCAGTCTTAAAAGAAGCGCCGAGTGAGAACGACGAAACATTCCGTGACTAATTGTACCTTTTTATTTTAAATTTTAATATACTGAACTTATCAAAATCAAAAGACGTGAGCTTATCCTTTATAAACCCACAACTTTTGGGGGCTCGTCCGGGATATGCCAAAACGAGTTAAACGTTGTTGAAAAGTACTTGAGAAGAAGATATTAAAAAGTGTCTGAACGAGGTTCGAAAAGACGAGAAAAACGACGAGTAAAAGAAGAACGACAGCGCTCGAGTATTCAAGAGCCATAAGGAAGAACGAAGACGAACGAACGATGTGTGAGCAAGAGCATTTAAGAACTGTAGCAGGAAAACAAAGTGGTGGACGAAATAATGGAAAAATTAGGACAAATACCCGCCATAAAACAAAAAATTGACGTAGCTTCTAGAGCGGTGATTGTGGCTATGCACAAACTTGTTTTTGAGGAAGATGGCGACAGGAACAATCGACGGCGACTGCGCGAGTTTCGAGGGTTCGAATTTAACGACGACTCGCCCGATTTTAGAGCCAAGCTTCAATATGCCGTAATGTTTCCCATTGAAGATTTAATATCAATTTGTAATATTCTCGGTATTACATAGGAAACGCTGAACAATTAAGAGAACGAATAGTGAGAGCTTTGATGGACGTAGAGGCTCTACGATCGATGCGTGACGAGAACGAGTACGATGATGACGAAAGAGATGACGAAAATGATGACGAAAGCGATGACGAGATGCCGATGTTGACGAAGGGAATGAAAATATGAACCACCCAGTACAGGAGCGTAACAATCGACCGGAAAGAGGTAGGAGGCAGGGAGATACGAATAAAAACGCTAATCAATTCGTTTTAAATTATAGAGATGTTGAAGATTCATTTCGCGCATTCAATGGAACTGATTCATATCCAATTGAGCGATGGATTAACGATTTTGAGGAAGCCGCTGCTATTTTCGGCTGGAATAATTTACAAAAAGTAGTCTTTGCAAAAAAATCTCTGAAAGGCGTGGCCAAATTATTTATACAAAGTGAAGGAATTATCGGAACGTGGAAGAAGTTAAAAGACGTTTTGACGGAAGAATTCTCCAAAAAAATCACCAGTGCACAGTTGCACAGAATGTTAGAAAGACGTAAGATGAAGAAAGAAGAGACTGTGCAAGAGTATTTTTTAGCAATGAAAGAGTTGGCGTCAAGGGGCGCCGTGGAATCGGACGCGCTGTTTGATTATGTAATTAGAAGTATCAACGATGAATCCAGTAGTAAAATAATTCTTTACGGAGCAAAAACAGTTCGTGAGTTTAAGGATAAGCTTGAGATCTATGAAAAAATGACAAAAATTCACTCGGAGAAAACGACAAAGCAAATGAGGAATCGAGAGGAACTGACGAGGAGCGCGGGAAGGAGATCCTCGCGTGGAGACACGAGAACGAGGACGACGAATAATCAGGAAGGCGGGGCGCAGATGCGTTGTTTTAATTGTGGCACGATCGGACATCACGCTAGGGATTACGATAAAAAGGCATTAGGAAAAAAATGTTTTAATTGTAATAAGTATGGACACGAAGCGAGAAATTGCAATGAGAAAAGAGTAAACTCTGACGCGAATACAGAACAGGTGAATCTCGTGAGCGCATCACTGACTAGCGTGGTAAAGAATATTATTATTAATAATAAAAATTTGCGACCGCTTATAGACACCGGTAGAGTCCAGCTAGTTTAATTCGAGAAGACGCATTCAAAAAGTTAAATAAATATGAGTTGGTACAGTCGACACGTGTTTTTTCCGGTTTCGGGGGCGGTAAATCAAAGGCTTTAGGCTATTTTCAAACTATTGTTTATATAAATGGTGATGATTTTCCTTTGACGTTGTATGTCGTACCGTGCGAAACGGTAAACGTAGAAGTAGTTATCGGCAGAGATATTTTAGAGCAAGCTAATTTAAGTTTTAATGAACATGGCGTGACAATTTATAAAAAATTAACGACAGACTTTCTTGCGCATATTACTGCCGAAAAAGAACAGCAAATAGATGTTGAAACTACATCGGACGCAACAATAAAGAATAAAGAATTGATAGCTGCGTATAAGCCTAAAAAATGTAAAACAACAGGAGTTAAACTGAAAATAACACTCAAAGACGAAAAATTGATTTTTAGAGACCGCGTAAATTAGCAATGCCAGAAAAGAAGATAGTTGAAAAGCAAGTAAGAGAATGGATACAAGAAGGCATAATAGAACCATGTTCTTCGGAATACGCAAGCCCAGTAGTAATAGTTGAAAAGAAAGATGGATCTCCTAGAGAGAGAGAGAGAGAGAGAGTATGCATTGATTATCGACCACTTAATCGCATTATAGAACGTGATAGGCATCCCTTGCCATTAATTGAAGATCAAATAGACAAATTAAAAGACGCACGAGTATTTAGCACACTCGATCTTAAGAATGGGTTCTTTCATGTAGAGATAGATGAAGAAAGTCGTAAATATACTGCGTTTATCACACACGAAGGCCAGTATCAATTTTTAAAAGCGCCGTTTGGCTTGTCTAATTCTCCACCAGTATTCCAGAGATTTATAAGTCAAGTTTTTCGACCGCTAGTAAATGACGGAATAATGACGCTATACTTGGACGATGTAATAATTTTGGCGATTGATTGTAATCAAGCAATAGAAAGATTAGAAGTTGTATTAGTAGTGTACTGTAAAAGTAGCGAGCAAATATGGCTTAGAACTGAACATAAAAAAATGTAAATTTATGAAGACGCGTATAGAATATTTAGGACAGATAATAGAAAATGGGACGGTATCACCATCCCCAGAGAAAATAAGAGCTGTAATACGATTTCCGGAACCGACGACAGCTAAGCAGGTCCAAAGCTTTTTGGACCTCACAGGATACACAAATTTCACAAATTTATGGGTGGATATTCAACGACGGCGAAACCTTTAAGTGACTTGTTGCGTAAAGATAGGGTATTCCGATTTGAGGAGGCAGAAAGAGAAGCTTTTAATAGATTAAAACAAATATTGAGCGAGGAGCCTGTGTTGCGTATCTTTGATCCGACACTAGAGACAGAACTATTGTACATACCGACGCTAGTCAGGACGGAATAGGCGCGATATTGTTGCAACAATCGCAAATAGACGATAAGTTACATTCGGTGCAATATATGAGTCGCAAATCGCGGCCAGTCGAAAAAAATTATAGAAGTTATGAATTAGAAGTGATAGCTATAATAGAGGCACTTGAGAAATTCCGTGTATATCTACTTGAAATAAAATTTAAGATAATAACGGATTGTGTGGCGTTCACGCAAACGATGCGTAAAAAGGAAGTTTCTCCGAAGATCTGGCAGTGGGCCGAAAAATTAGAAGAGTTTGAGTATATACTGGAACACAGATCAGGTACCCGAATGAAACATGTCGATGCATTAAGTAGGAACGCAGTTATGACGGTGGTAGAAGACGGTATAGTGGCAAGAGTAATAGCGGCTCAAGCAGATGATTCCGAAATAAAAACGCTAATAGAGACAATGGAATTAAAGCCTGATGATGGTTATACGTTGATCGGAGGTGTGCTCTATAAATTTGTCGATGGCAGAGATTTTCTGATGGTTCCGGAGCGTATGCAGAACGAGATCATACAAGTGATTCACCATAAAGGTCATTTGGCAGCAAAAAGAACAGAAGATGCAATACGAAAAGAATATTTTATACCAGATTTAAAAAGAAAAGTCGAAGGGTTTATAGCAAACTGCATCCCATGCATACTTGCCAATCGAAAACAGGGTAAACAGGAGGGACAACTTCGCTACTTAAGGGTGACGTGCCTTTGCACACGTACCATATAGATCATTTAGGCCCTTTGGAATCCACGAGCAAGAAGTACAAACACATTCTGGTCGTGATCGACAGCTTTACAAAATTCACTTGGTTATATCCAACGAAGAGCACGACATCGCAAGAAGTAATTAAGAAGTTAGAGCTGCAACAACAAATATTTGGCAATCCAGCGTGTATTATTTCCGATAGGGGCACGGCCTTTTCATCGAAGGAGTTTCAAGACTACTGCGAAAATGAAGGAATTAAACATATCTTGATTACCACCGGTTTGCCAAGAGCAAATGGACAAGTAGAAAGAATAAATCGGACAATAATTCCAATACTTACTAAATTATCATGAGAAGATCCTACCAAATGGTATTGTTATGTGAGACAGTTGCAAAATATTTTAAATTCCATTTACCAAAGAAGCATTAACACGAGCTCATTCGAACTACTGACGGGAGTAAAAATGCGATGCAAAGAGAACTTACGCCTAAAACAGATCTTAGAGCAAGAACTACGAGAGCAGTTCAATGAAACACGTTCTCTTAGGGTGAAAGCCAAGAAGCAAATATTAAAGACGCAACGAGAGAACTGCAAGATATTTAATAAACACCGGAAGGCACCACAAAAATATAAAATTGGAGAGCTAGTTGCGATCAAACGCACGCAAATGTGTCCGGAGCGAAAACTGCGCGCAAAGTATTTAGGGCCGTACCGCGTAACAAAAATAAAGTGTAATGATACATATGATGTAAAGCGAGGAGAACCCAGGAGAAGGTCCGAATAGTACTAGTACATGCGCCGAATTTATGAAGCCTTGGTTCAATATGTAGCAATCATTCGAGGCGAATAATTGGTCAGGTAGGCCGAATGTAGGATTCAGAAAGAATTAAGATCGTTAGATTTCAATCTGATAGTTGGATCAGCTTGCTTCGGGCTTGTTTTGTTTATTGACTAGATACATAGAGAGAAACAGAGAGAGGGCAGTCTTAAAAAAAGCACTGAGCGAGGCAGTCTTAAAAGAAGCGCCGAATGAAAACGACGAAACATTCCGTAACTAATTGTACTTTTTTATTTTAAATTTTAATATACTGAACTTATCAAAATCAAAAGACGTGAGCTTATCCTTTATAAACCTACACCATTATTTTAAAAATATTATAATGTTGAACAAATATAAACATTTAAGTAAAAAAGTTGACAAACTTACGAAATGTGTTATTGTTGGATTTGGTTGCCTCAGATTTATCCAATATATGTTTCTTCTGCTTTATCTGAGTAATTAGAAATCATATATAATACAAATAAAAAAATTCAAGAAAATATTAATAAATAATATTTCAATATATCTATACCTCATCTATAAGCAAAGTGATAGAATTTAATTGTTTTTGCTGTTTCCATTTTGTAGTAGAAAGGTTGAATATAACATTTGGATACAAAAATATGTTATTTATTCTATATTTCCAAATTTCCTTTATGCTAAAACATGTTTCTTCCGTAAATCATGGATAAAAGTTTATTTAACCGTCATAAAATTTTATAAATTTTATTAAGAATTTGGTTTTTTTTTCATTACTATAATTAAAATAATTAAAATTCTTTTTCTAAATATATATATTTATATATATCTGTTTTAAAAAGAAAATGTATACCTCATCATTATTTCAAGCATTCGGTTTATAAATTGTGGTTCCAACTTGATGTCCATTAGACTTTCTTTATAGCGCCACATAAAAAAATAATTAATATTTATTATAATATCTAAGTACATTAACTGTATTTAGATAAAGAGTTACCAATTATCCAGATTTGAATTAAACTATAAACTTTTTTTAAATTTTATTTTATATTTTATTAAAAAATTAAATCAATTTTTACGTATTCGGTTTTATAAAAAAATATAAAAGTTAACTTTAAAAATAATTACAATAAATTATTCTATTTTTGTGGGCACATTTTGTATTTGCACGCTTATGATTCGTGATAGATCTGTTTTTTACATTTTCCAGTAATATTATTTATATCGTTTTCGTAATATCATTAGAATAAAATAATATATTTGTCGCTTTAACTCCGTCAGTTATATTCATCGTAATGTCGACATGTAAAATATTTGTCAAAAAAATGTTTCAAATAAAAGTTGTAAGATTTAGAGGAAGAAAAAAGATAAGAATATTAGTTCGACCTTGGGTAGAGGTGCTTCTAAGATTTAAAGTCATCTTTATTTTTTTAAATAGAACTATCCTAATTTTTTTATACAAATCGATTCCTTGCAATATTTATCGTAAAAAGTTATAAGGGTAGGACGGTCAAAAATTAAATAGTTTACGAGATATTTTATATTTTAATTTGACATAATTTTACATAAACTATAAAATATCTCGTTAAATATATGTTTTTCAATTATCTTACCTCAACACTTTTATGCACAAATTAATGAGAGGAATCAATTGGTGTAAAAAAACACATAGTTATCTTCAAGAAAAAATATGATATGATATTATTTAAGCTACATATTTTTTTCAAGACAACTATATGTTTTTTAATAACAAATAAAATTTTAAAAAATTTTCCTGTTATTATTTCTGTAAAAATAACAAATTTTTTTTAAATGTGGGAAAACGTTTTTTAAATAATGGTTACAAAAACGTTTCTTATCGTTGCTTGACGGTTAAAAAACATTAGATACATATGTGCCGGTTATTATGAAAGTGGTCTAAGTCACAAAACCAAAAAAATGAGATTTTCATTTAGTATTATATTATATCAACTATATTTCATTATTATGGAAGAATTTTTGCAAAGTTACCATGATATAAGCAATAAAATAAAGTTATCATTTTCATTATTATCAGGTGTAATTGCATGCTTATTTTGATAGTGGCATAAGTCATTTTTTTCTAATATTGCGATAAAAAAGTAACATTATCATAATTTTCAACATATTTTTATATTATATCGTCAGATAGCGGCTCAGGTAAATTTAACTTTACAAAAATATTTCATATTTATTTAAAAATGTAATATCAATAAGGTAAATAATGCTTAATATAATTAAATTGCCGTAATAATTTTGCGAAACATTAAATTACTAATTGAGGTTATATTGATCGTTGTGTTTCATAGACTCAGTACCACGAAGTAATGTTTGCAAAAAAAGAAAACGGATAAAATAATAATTAAAAAAAATAATTAATACAATTAAAATAGTTAATAGAATTTTAAAAGTT